ATCTTTTATCCCCCGCTTTAGTAGCCATCTTTGGAAAGCCCTTGTTCTCAAAACAAAACAGGTGATTCTTACAATTGTCAAACTGAATTTTATCTATGGTTCTGGTTGCATAATTATTGTATTCATCATTTTAACTGAGATCTTATTTTACTTTGTCAGGATATGGACATCCAAGATAGAGAACTAGTAAATGACTGGCTCATGATCATAGTTTACAAAGAACGTGGTTTTGGCTGAAAAACATATTACCATGTGGTATGCATCTTCCTTGAAACTTCATGATCTTAGGCCTCTGTGTTTGTTTATTTAAGGTGTTAGCATAAATGGGAAAGCATACTTTTGAATGTCACATTGTTGCCTTCACTTATAATTTGCATAATGTCGATTGTGCTTTAGAATATTATTAATTTATTTTTATTTCTCCTTAGTAATTGTGGGCATAGCAGCACCTGTTTTTGTGTTTCTTTTATTGTGAGGGCAATCCTTAACTGTACCAGTGGTTCCGATTATTTTGGTCTCTTAATGGGGTATTTAACCCTTGGCTGGGAATTAAATAGTTAAGTAGATTTTTGTGATGCTTATCTGAACTTGAAGAGTTTTTTCACCTCTTGAACGTGAGAATAGAGTTTCTACCTGATCCTTTATAGAGGATACTTTTGACTGGTGCAGGGTAACTCTAATGTTACTATGGATTGTCTTAATTGCCTTAGTTTCGACTGATGCAGAGTGTTTGACCAACACTGATGCTAATGCCTAATGCTATACTACTTTGTCTTTCTTTGTTGGTAAGACATTTGTATGCTAAACCAGATGCTAATGCCTAATGCCTAATGTTATCACTTGTGGTTTAATTCAGATTCTGGGACAAAAAGAGTCATAGCTGGGTTGTTAATGTTCCTGTTTGTTTTCATTTATGCAGGTAACAATCTTGTAGAAAGGACTTATGAATCAAATGTTAATGGTAACAAGTTTAACACTCGAGTCCATACGATTAGATGTTAATGGTAACAAGTTTAACACATGTGTCTTTGTTATACATACAGATTAAATGTAATGGATTGTATTTTTGTATATGGTATTTTATTTAATATTATGCAATGGATTGTATTTTTTGTATATGGTATTTTATTTCTATTATGAGAGATTAAATGCAAATTTAATTTATAAATTAATAAATATATAAATATATATTTTAAAAAAAAAAAATTAAAATTACGATACGCAAAAATGCGTGTCGTCTTCATTTATGACATGGCCTTTCTTGACGGAGGCTTCCTTGATATGCATTGCGTGTTATAAACACGTGCGTCGTAAAGTTACGACACGCAAATGCGTGTCGTCTTCCTTTATGACAGGGCCTTCCTTGATACGCATTGCGTGTCATAACCGTGCGTCGTAAATGCGCGTCGTTTATAGACGACGCGCAAAAGCGCGTCGTCTCTCTTTATGACAGGGCCTTCCTTGACGCGCATTTGCGCGTCGTCTCAGCGTTTTACGACGCGCAATGAGCGTCGTAAAAGGCCTTTTTTCTAGTAGTGCGATAACGTTTATTTGATTTGTTCTTGAAACTTTTCAAGACTATTAAGACTCCCACTGACTCCTTGACATATACGATTCTCTTATCAAAACAAAACACTTCATAATTTTGGTCTTAGTTGGTCTTTGTATTATCCAAGACATCACAACTTTCCACAATTGATGAATGTTATAAACCTTCTTAAAACTATTCACTCAATGTCACAATCTTGACTTTAAGACTTGTTTTGGAACGAAGTATGATTGACTTCTTGATTTGACCATTTCTTCAATCTTTGATTCCTCTTCTTGGACATACACTTGTACCAAGACTCACTTAGAGGATCAATTGAGATATGGTTCTTAATCATTAAGACCTATCATAAAGCATAAAAGCTACTCTCCCTTCTTCTTAGAATGGAGAAACTCTTATCTTTCTGCCTACTTGATTCTTCTTATTCGTTTTGCTATTGATCTAAACCCTTTAATCAATTCAAAATTACACTTAATCTTGTAAGTGTAATCATATCTACTAAGCCTTTAGCAAATCATGACGAATATCTTTGTTACTCTTATGGTGAACTTGATCAACACACAACTTTGTGTACTCGATCTCCTAGTCCGTCACTTGACACTTTGTCAATGAATTAGTCTAATTTCCAAATATTGAATTTCTCATTCATCGTGCAACCAGGTTGTATGATTCCAAGTTTCTGTCCAATTGAAACTTGGGCGATGAGAAACTCTCCCTATTTGGTAAATTCTTGACTTTCCATAACACAATAAGAAACAAATCCATTATTGCTAATAATTTTAACATCAATTTTTCATACACGCCATTGTAAGGATAAATAAATAAAATTTAAAATCAAAATTTATTTTATTGCGGAAAAATTTGTCCTTACAATGCAACTCATTGAAAAACTTACGCTAATACATCTTTCTTAGCAATCTAATTCTAACTCTAAGTAGTAGCTCAAGAATCTAATCTTCGAGAAACGCGATCGAAATCCATTCCTTCACGGTTAGGTTCTGCTCACTTCTTCCCTTAAGCTTCTTTTTTTTTCTTTGATCCTTCTAAACATCAATTGTAATCTTATCACATTATGTATTCAGAATCTAGAATGAAGCTTAAAAAAGTTAGTCAATAGATTTTACCTAAATTAGAGCCATACGTTTCGACTCTCCCATCTCTTAGATCTCTTAGGTAAACAGGACAGCTTCGTCTCCAATGCCCCTTCTCTTGGCAATAAAAGCAAATTGACTCTTTTTGGAATAGGACATGGAACTACTTCAGACATTGCCTTTCTCTTATGATAAATCTTTTTAATCATAGCATGTCTTTCGTTGCCATTGTCTATATCCATAGAGGTCTCGAAGGCAGATTCACCAATCAACTTTGCTTTTCTATTGTGCCAAACCATTGCTGATTCAGAAGCAATAAGCATATAGGTGAGATCTATAAGGGTCACGTCGCGGTTCATCATATAGTACTCTCTTACAAACTCACTATATGAGTTAGGAAGTGATTGAAGAACCCAATCAACAGCCATCTCTTCACTGACAACGGATCCCATCATTCTTAACTTATCAATGTGTGACTTCATCCCTAAGACGTGTGCACACACCGACTTGCCCTCTTTATGTTTACTTGCCAAAAGGGCTTGAGTGATACTGAACCTTTCAATTTTACAATCTTGTGGGTTAGGGAGAATAATTGGAGGAGGAGGAGGAAGTGAAGCATGATTTCTTGTTCCTCGATCGAATCATGGAATATCATCTTCATGTGGAATGCTTGTTCCACGGGATTTGAGAAGACCATAGTTGTCGAACTTTGACATCGGGAGAAAAACGAATTCAAGTTAGTTGATTGATTGAGTCCTTAGTAAATCACCCAAATGAAATACTAAGGCTAGGACCCAACACAATATTCTACAACTCGGGAGAGGGATGCCGTAACCCAAATTGAAGAACATTTGAAGGTAAGTGAATGACGATTCACTAATTTCCACCATGAAAAACGAAAAATAATTTTAAGTTTTAAATCTATGAAAACTCCTAGATCCTTTGAGATTCATTGAATATTTCAATGGCATGTTTAAATCTCGATATGCCCCTCTTGTTTGTGACTGGGATGCCGAGGATCACAAAGCGGGTGTGAATAACCATGCAAACTACATGGTGCCCTCACATGTTACAATCACCTATTCGATGTGCCGGTAAACCACACACGCTCCACCGAACTATGACAAACATTGAGTCACCCTTTGCTACCTTTGCTTAGAACCATTTAGTGTGCCGGTAAACCACACACGCTCCACTAACGTCTTCGCAAGGGCACAAAGTGTAATTTCATGGAATTGCATCAATTCACTTTTGCCTAAGTAACTAAAATTGGGAATTTGAAAAACATTAGTTACTTTGTATTTCATTATACTTATAATGGAAGGTTTCGTCATATCCTACCCGTTCGGCTAACGACCTTCCACTAGTCAAGAGTGCGGTGGGTAAGAGTGGATACCCATTCAATCGCCATTTTATATGCAATTTCCTTAAACACCCCTTATTAGACCAGCTTCGTGAATGAGGCCTACTAACGGTAAGACTGACTTTTACTCATACATATATAATGTTATACTTTTAATGTTATATATAGTATAGGATGTATTTTATACTTTTAAAATACTATATGGTTAACTTTAACAATTACACTTTTAATTCAATTAAACGGTTAACCTAAACTTTTATGGATTTATTAAACCTCTTTTAATTATACTCCTTAATTAATTAATAAAACCATAAGGGTGTGATTTGAACTTTTCAAAACATTACTAGGGTTTTAGAATTTAACATTCCTAATTAAACTTTTAATCAACTTTTAAATTCCAAAACTTGAGGGCAAGTTTTGAAACATTTCAAAACATTAGGGTTTTAACTATTTAAATTTCAAAACCTCAAAACTTTTGGGTTCAAATTTAAACTATAAAACCTAAAGGGGAAAATATGAAACTTTTCATAACAACAAGGATCAAATAACAAATAATCTAAACTAACATTTAATTACATAATTATCCATATTTGATTTGTTTAATGATTTCTTGCAAAACAATTTATCAATAATTAATCAATTATCTTATAAGGAAACAATTATCTTATTAATTGATAATTATCTTTAATTTGATCAAGAATATAGTCATATATATATCATAAAATCGGATTTATATTGATCTAACATGATAAGGTAACTATCCATATGTAGCTGATCCATCCACGAAAGCTGAAATCAAAGCAAGAATTTCACAAATAAAGAAAGATCTTTCTGAAACAAATAGTTCTTATCCTTCTAAAAAGCTCGATGAACGAATTGCAAAACTCTTTGGTAGTGTTGCCATTATCAAGGTCAGTTTATTTATTAATTATGACTAAAATAATGTATATAGAATGAATTGAAAGAATTTTGGTTATAGGTAAGGGCCCACACTGAGATGGAATTAGAAGATCGAAAGCTAAGAATTGAGGATGCAAAAAATGCCACGTATGTAGCCATGGATGAGGGTATTGTGCCTGGTGGTGGGGACACTTATATTCATATTCTTGAGGAAATTCCCTCCATTAAAAAGTTAATGGAAGATCCAGATGAAGAAAGTGGTGTCAACATCATAGCATCTGTATGTTTCTGTTTCCTATGTTCTTTCTGCATTAACTCAAAAAGTCAAAAAGAAAACTGATATAGCTTACTAGATTAAGTTACTTACTAATCATGTATTAAAGGGACCAAATTTAGACATATGTCTAACTGTTCACTCTCCCCTTTTAAATAACTATAGGAAATTAGACTAATTTAAATATTTTAAAATCATCACAGGCTTATATTTGGTTTCTGACAAGCAAATTCGTTTAAAGATTTTCTCTCCTAATGTTCTTGACATAACTCTGGCATCAGAACAATGATAGTGTCATACATTAAGGCTACCAACTGTTTAATTCTTGCTGTGACACCAACAAATTCAGACCTTGCCAACTCAAATGCCCTGCAGATTGCTGGAAATGCTGATCCAGGTGGTATTTGACTCCATGCACGAGAGGTTGCGTACACATGCTGAATCTGTTGCTTCCTTTGGAGGTGGTGCTCGAGAGAAAGCCGTAACTCCTCTCCTCCTTTTTTATATTTCCTTCCACAAAGGAGAATTTTGGAATATAATATTAATAATAATAATACTTGAATATGGTTTGTCTGACAGATGATTGAGTCAAGATTTAATGAGCTTCTTGCTCATGCTAAAATACTTCTGAGGAAGAAATGGTTATTTGGAGTACTGGATGACTTTGTCACCAAACAACTACCCCACAATGTTACCTCAGGATTGCGCTTGTTATATGCTATAGTGCACAAAGCTGATCGTTCATTGACTTCCACTCAAGGTCAATTCCCATTCTCAATTCCGATTCATCATGACATTTGTTTACCACAATTGGAAATAGTTTAGTAGTTGTGAATCGATTACCTGAACCTAATGAAATGTAGGCTTTTATTTTTTTTGTTTGGATGTGAGTGGGTTTTTTTTGTTAGCAGGTGAGCTTGCACATGCATTGCGGTTTTTGGCATCAGTTGTATCTCAAAGCTTCTTGGTCTTTGGTGACATCTTGGAGCTGCATAGAAAGTTCATTGAACTGTCTGGTCGTGTTAATTGGATTTTTGAACTTGAGCAACTTCTTGATGCTGCACAATCTGGTTAGTGTTTTATCTAATCTTTTAGGTTGTTCCTTATTTACTAATAATCTGATGGAAATTGCAGATGAAAATGTTGGTGCTTCATCAAAGTCCAATGAGGAACTTGAGGATGTTATCTCTCTTTTGGAGGTTGATATTATCACGCCAACACATAATTTATTAGCCAGAAAGCTGACTTGCGAGATAGTACCAGGGAAAAGCCTTCTTCTTCCCGGTTAGAGTTATAGTCAGAGATTATGATTATAAATACTTGTGAGGATTTAAAAAAATAAAAAATAAAAAATGAAGATATAGTTACTGCTACTACGAGTAAATAAGAAATTATTTGGTACAAGAGAATGTAAGTTTCTATGCCATATCAATGTTAAGTTGAAATTAGAAAGTATTGTGTTCATTTCTTAGAACAATTATATAATTGCTCATATATTACTTTATCATAAAGGATGTTTATGATCTTCATCAAGTTGTGCTAGGTAAATGCTATATTTAACATTAAGATATATTAGAAAATGAGAAATGAGTTAATTTATTTACTTTGATTTGTTGTTCATCAAGTTGGTTGGTATGCATCCTATTCTATGTCCAACACAACAAGGATGATGATGGTGCATTTATATCTTCTTAACCTGTTACCTAATAATTTTTCTCATCTTATTACATCATATTTCTTCATTTTTAACTCCTTAATTTATCAATCTAATCATTATTAACTTATTCTTGTAAAACCAGATGTCTATGCTATATAATGATTGGTTTTCCACTTTTCATGGTGGAAGTGGACAAAGGGTTTCTCTTTCACAGTTTGTAACATATTGTATTCAAGAAATCTTGCTCTGACCGATTAAATTATTGCTAACACATATTAATTAACTACTGTACGCATATCAAATAATTCTTGAATTGTTGGTTTTTGATTATATGCAGTCAGGTTCTTTTATCTTTTATCCCCCGCTTTAGTAGCCATCTTTGGAAAGCCCTTGTTCTCAAAACAAAACAGGTGATTCTTACAATTGTCAAACTGAATTTTATCTATGGTTCTGGTTGCATAATTATTGTATTCATCATTTTAACTGAGATCTTATTTTACTTTGTCAGGATATGGACATCCAAGATAGAGAACTAGTAAATGACTGGCTCATGATCATAGTTTACAAAGAACGTGGTTTTGGCTGAAAAACATATTACCATGTGGTATGCATCTTCCTTGAAACTTCATGATCTTAGGCCTCTGTGTTTGTTTATTTAAGGTGTTAGCATAAATGGGAAAGCATACTTTTGAATGTCACATTGTTGCCTTCACTTATAATTTGCATAATGTCGATTGTGCTTTAGAATATTATTAATTTATTTTTATTTCTCCTTAGTAATTGTGGGCATAGCAGCACCTGTTTTTGTGTTTCTTTTATTGTGAGGGCAATCCTTAACTGTACCAGTGGTTCCGATTATTTTGGTCTCTTAATGGGGTATTTAACCCTTGGCTGGGAATTAAATAGTTAAGTAGATTTTTGTGATGCTTATCTGAACTTGAAGAGTTTTTTCACCTCTTGAACGTGAGAATAGAGTTTCTACCTGATCCTTTATAGAGGATACTTTTGACTGGTGCAGGGTAACTCTAATGTTACTATGGATTGTCTTAATTGCCTTAGTTTCGACTGATGCAGAGTGTTTGACCAACACTGATGCTAATGCCTAATGCTATACTACTTTGTCTTTCTTTGTTGGTAAGACATTTGTATGCTAAACCAGATGCTAATGCCTAATGCCTAATGTTATCACTTGTGGTTTAATTCAGATTCTGGGACAAAAAGAGTCATAGCTGGGTTGTTAATGTTCCTGTTTGTTTTCATTTATGCAGGTAACAATCTTGTAGAAAGGACTTATGAATCAAATGTTAATGGTAACAAGTTTAACACTCGAGTCCATACGATTAGATGTTAATGGTAACAAGTTTAACACATGTGTCTTTGTTATACATACAGATTAAATGTAATGGATTGTATTTTTGTATATGGTATTTTATTTAATATTATGCAATGGATTGTATTTTTTGTATATGGTATTTTATTTCTATTATGAGAGATTAAATGCAAATTTAATTTATAAATTAATAAATATATAAATATATATTTTAAAAAAAAAATTAAAATTACGATACGCAAAAATGCGTGTCGTCTTCATTTATGACATGGCCTTTCTTGACGGAGGCTTCCTTGATATGCATTGCGTGTTATAAACACGTGCGTCGTAAAGTTACGACACGCAAATGCGTGTCGTCTTCCTTTATGACAGGGCCTTCCTTGATACGCATTGCGTGTCATAACCGTGCGTCGTAAATGCGCGTCGTTTATAGACGACGCGCAAAAGCGCGTCGTCTCTCTTTATGACAGGGCCTTCCTTGACGCGCATTTGCGCGTCGTCTCAGCGTTTTACGACGCGCAATGAGCGTCGTAAAAGGCCTTTTTTCTAGTAGTGCGATAACGTTTATTTGATTTGTTCTTGAAACTTTTCAAGACTATTAAGACTCCCACTGACTCCTTGACATATACGATTCTCTTATCAAAACAAAACACTTCATAATTTTGGTCTTAGTTGGTCTTTGTATTATCCAAGACATCACAACTTTCCACAATTGATGAATGTTATAAACCTTCTTAAAACTATTCACTCAATGTCACAATCTTGACTTTAAGACTTGTTTTGGAACGAAGTATGATTGACTTCTTGATTTGACCATTTCTTCAATCTTTGATTCCTCTTCTTGGACATACACTTGTACCAAGACTCACTTAGAGGATCAATTGAGATATGGTTCTTAATCATTAAGACCTATCATAAAGCATAAAAGCTACTCTCCCTTCTTCTTAGAATGGAGAAACTCTTATCTTTCTGCCTACTTGATTCTTCTTATTCGTTTTGCTATTGATCTAAACCCTTTAATCAATTCAAAATTACACTTAATCTTGTAAGTGTAATCATATCTACTAAGCCTTTAGCAAATCATGACGAATATCTTTGTTACTCTTATGGTGAACTTGATCAACACACAACTTTGTGTACTCGATCTCCTAGTCCGTCACTTGACACTTTGTCAATGAATTAGTCTAATTTCCAAATATTGAATTTCTCATTCATCGTGCAACCAGGTTGTATGATTCCAAGTTTCTGTCCAATTGAAACTTGGGCGATGAGAAACTCTCCCTATTTGGTAAATTCTTGACTTTCCATAACACAATAAGAAACAAATCCATTATTGCTAATAATTTTAACATCAATTTTTCATACACGCCATTGTAAGGATAAATAAATAAAATTTAAAATCAAAATTTATTTTATTGCGGAAAAATTTGTCCTTACAACGCAACTCATTGAAAAACTTACGCTAATACATCTTTCTTAGCAATCTAATTCTAACTATAAGTAGTAGCTCAAGAATCTAATCTTCGAGAAACGCGATCGAAATCCATTCCTTCACGGTTAGGGTCTGCTCACTTCTTCCCTTAAGCTTCTTTTTTTTCTTTGATCCTTCTAAACATCAATTGTAATCTTATCACATTATGTATTCAGAATCTAGAATGAAGCTTAAAAAAGTTAGTCAATGGATTTTACCTAAATTAGAGCCATACGTTTCGACTATCCCATCTCTTAGATCTCTTAGGTAAACAGGGCAGCTTCGTCTCCAATGCCCCTTCTCTTGGCAATAAAAGCAAATTGACTCTTTTTGGAATAGGACATGGAACTACTTCAGACATCGCCTTTCTCTTATGATAAATCTTTTTAATCATAGCATGTCTTTCGTTGCCATTGTCTATATCCATAGAGGTCTCGAAGGCAGATTCACCAATCAACTTTGCTTTTCTATTGTGCCAAACCATTGCTGATTCAGAAGCAATAAGCATATAGGTGAGATCTATAAGGGTCACATCGCGGTTCATCATATAGTACTCTCTTACAAACTCACTATATGAGTTAGGAAGTGATTGAAGAACCCAATCAACAGCCATCTCTTCACTGACAACGGATCCCATCATTCTTAACTTATCAATGTGTGACTTCATCCCTAAGACGTGTGCACACACCGACTTGCCCTCTTTATGTTTACTTGCCAAAAGGGCTTGAGTGATACTGAACCTTTCAATTTTACAATCTTGTGGGTTAGGGAGAATAATTGGAGGAGGAGGAGGAAGTGAAGCATGATTTCTTGTTCCTCGATCGAATCATGGAATATCATCTTCATGTGGAATGCTTGTTCCACGGGATTTGAGAAGACCATAGTTGTCGAACTTTGACATCGGGAGAAAAACGAATTCAAGTTAGTTGATTGATTGAGTCCTTAGTAAATCACCCCAAATGAAATACTAAGGCTAGGACCCAACACAATATTCTACAACTCGGGAGAGGGATGCCGTAACCCAAATTGAAGAACATTTGAAGGTAAGTGAATGACGATTCACTAATTTCCACCATGAAAAACGAAAAATAATTTTAAGTTTTAAATCTATGAAAACTCCTAGATCCTTTGAGATTCATTGAATATTTCAATGGCATGTTTAAATCTCGATATGCCCCTCTTGTTTTGGGGACTGGGATGCCGAGGATCACAAAGCGGGTGTGAATAACCATGCAAACATACATGGTGCCCTCACATGTTACAATCACCTATTCGATGTGCCGGTAAACCACACACGCTCCACCGAACTATGACAAACATTGAGTCACCCTTTGCTACCTTTTCTTAGAACCATTTAGTGTGCCGGTAAACCACACACGCTCCACTAACGTCTTCGCAAAGGGCACAAAGTGTAATTTCATGGAATTGCATCAATTCACTTTTGCCTAAAGTAACTAAGATTGGGAATTTGTAAAACATCTAGTTACTTTGTATTTC